GTTTGACTTCCACTCCGTAGCACCCGCTGGCCACTCTCTGCACTCCTGTTCCATTGTGGTCATAACCCTACACAGATCAGACTTTTTCTCTGGTACTCTGACGCATTCCTTTCCTAGCCCATGTTCTCCAGCATGCATACTTGTCTTATTGTGTCTTCTGCTTGAGCCATAACGACTTTCCCCTTTTTCGGCCTCTGACCACGACCGGCTCCAGCTGCAGTCGGTCGTGCTCTGACCTTTACCTGCAGCCTAAGCTTCATACAGATGGTATTCCCTGTCTGCAGCTACTCTGAGGTATGACTTAGCCTGCAGCACCTTTAGCCTATCTGCAATAGTCGGCAATGTAAGGATTTATCGCATGCACACAATCGGGGTGCCTCTTTCACAGGATCACCCGCATTAGCTTTATTCTGTATGCGCTTCAGTTTCTCTAGCTGATACTTCGAGACAGTGAGCAACCCCAGTCCATAATCAATGACTGAGATGATTAAGTGCTGGTAAAGTGTGAACAGCATTCTCTGCTCCTTGTCTATCGCTGCCATAATCTTTAGTGCATTAAGACCTTTTCAGGCCTTTGCTACAACCCCCTGTATGTGATTCTTGAAAGACAAACTTCTGTCAAAAGTGATTACCCGGTACCGCCATCAAATATTGCTTTCTTGCTCTCAGTTGGATAGGCGTAGTTCGACATCAGGCATTTAAGGAGTTGGCCACTTTCGCCCTTACTTGCTTAATAATGCCAGGTAGCAATGCTGTAGTTGAGAGAATATTCTCTCTTGTTCCTTCAGTTAAATCAAAAGCAAGAAACAAAATACAACTATATTTTCTTTATGCAGTTGTGAGAATAAAAGCAGAAATATTGATATCAAACAAATGTTTCAAATACTTCATCCCGTCTGAGAAAAAAAGATTTAACATCTGAAAAGGTTTACGCTGCATCCTCCACTTGTTCAGTGAGGACGACAGTGAAGAATTCAATCTAGAGCTTTTGATGTGAAGTGGGTACAATGTAAATTTTAGTTGGCCTTTTCCACCCGGTGTATTTTGGGAAGTGATTTAGTTTAAAATGAAGTGTTGTTTCTGGGAACCGTGAGCTCGACTTTGTTACTTAAACCACATGAGGAAATGCCAGGGCGGCCTTCTGAGTAAAAAACAGTTTAAACAAAAATGAATGTCTATACTTGGTTATGACTTATCACTTTTCACTTATGACTCTTGCAATTTTTCCGGTAGGCGTGACTGGCTTATCCTCCTCAAAACTTTTGGTGGGGGTGGTAGCTCACCCCTCCGCCTTCTAATAAATTGGGTGTCCGTGTAGCTTCGGCGTTCAGGCGCCCCTGTGTACATGTGGAGAAACAGCCACTCCCGTTGAGTTCTTCCATACATTTTGCATGATCAGTGTACTCATCCCCAATCAGAGCCCCAGCGGGCCGTGTGCAAAGAATGTCCGTGTGCAGCAGCGGACTTGTTAAGTCAGGCCGAGATCGTCTGCTGGCCGAGAACTGTCGACTGACTTTTGCTGTGTGTCGGATACTGACAGCTCTTCCAGTTTACGTTCACTTCCAGTTGTCGCAGCCAGCCAATATGCCACCCAAGTTTGTAAGTATCTCATGTGATGACGAAATGTAGCCTGAACCTGTCATTAATCCTACAGTTAGTTCAACTTTCGACAACTGCCTTGTCCAGATTACTTACACCATGCAACAGACCGCACCCGTCGCTGAGTTCAGTTCTCAACATCGATCGGTTAGTCATTCTGTGTTCATTCCATCTCTGGTCGCTTAACTCTTTGAGTCCCAGGGGGTTTAGCAGCGGAGGTTCAAGGGGTGGTAATGCCATTTTTTTTTAATTTCACAAGTAACACATTAAAACAGACCATACTAATTCAGTTGCCACACAACATACGCATATTAAACATCAAAGTGACCAGGGATTGTCGAGGAATAATTATTATAGAATATAGCTACAACAAATAATTGCGTTAGTAATTAAATATTAATTAATAAAAATACGGTATGTTTACAATAATTAGTAAAATGAAATTTAAACATTTCCACTTAACTCAGATCTATATATTAGATTTTTTCAAAGAATCTTTTGAAGCATCATAACAGAGCACCATTATTTGGTAAAGAAACTGGCTCCCAAAACAATAAGTATCTTCACACAAAACAAAGTTTATATAAACTCAATTTGCCTGTAATTGTGTAGCTATGTTCCTAAATAATAAGGGAAATAGCACTGGAACTAACTGACACTGAAGAAAATCATATTTTCACTAATGTTTATTCTATTTGTGCCAGCTGACTTTGCTATCGTTGTACCCTTTGCGTGAGGTACACATTAGACATATCCCTCATCAAAGTTTGACTCTATAAATGACTGAGACCAGCAGTGTTCCCTGAAGTCATACTGTAACGTAGTCCAGCAGTATTCCATGAAGTCATACTGTAATGTAGTCCAGCTGTGTTCCCCGAAGTCATACTGTAATGTAGTTTAGCTCTGTTCCCTGAAGTCATACTGTAATGTAGTCCAGCTGTGTTCCCTGAAGTCACACTGTAATGTACTCCAGCTGTGTTCCCTGAAGTCATACTGTAATGTAGTCTAGCTCTGTTCCCTGAAGTCATACTGTAATGTAGTCTAGCTCTGTTCCCTGAAGTCATACTGTAATGTAGTCTAGCTCTGTTCCCTGATGTCACACTGTAATGTAGTCCAGCTGTGTTCCCTGAAGTCACACTGTAATGTAGTCCAGCTGTGTTCCCTGAAGTCATACTGTAATGTAGTCTAGCTCTGTTCCCTGAAGTCATACTGTAATGTAGTCTAGCTCTGTTCCCTGAAGTCATACTGTAATGTAGTCTAGCTCTGTTCCCTGGAGTCACACTGTAATGTAGTCTAGCTGTGTTCCCTGAAGTCACACTGTAATGTAGTCTAGCTCTGTTCCCTGAAGTCACACTGTAATGTAGTCTAGCTCTGTTCCCTGAAGTCGTACTGTAATGTAGTCTAGCTCTGTTCCCTGAAGTCACACTGTAATGTAGTCTAGCTCTGTTCCCTGATGTCACACTGTAATGTAGTCTAGCTCTGTTCCCTGAAGTTGTACTGTAATGTAGTCTAGCTCTGTTCCCTAAAGTCACACTGTAATGTAGTCTAGCTCTGTTCCCTGATGTCACACTGTAATGTAGTCTAGCTCTGTTCCCTGATGTCACACTGTAATGTAGTCTAGCTCTGTTCCCTGATGTCACACTGTAATGTAGTCTAGCTCTGTTCCCTGAAGTCACACTGTAATGTAGTCTAGCTCTGTTCCCTGAAGTCACACTGTAATGTAGTCTAGCTCTGTTCCCTGAAGTCACACTGTAATATAGTCTAGCTGTGTTCCCTGAAGTCACACTGTAATGTAGTCTAGCTCTGTTCCCTGAAGTCACACTGTAATATAGTCTAGCTCTGTTCCCTGAAGTCACACTGTAATGTAGTCTAGCTCTGTTCCCTGATGTCACACTGTAATGTAGTCTAGCTCTGTTCCTTGATGTCACACTGTAATGTAGTCTAGCTCTGTTCCCTACAGTCACACTGTAATGTAGTCTAGCTCTGTTCCCTGATGTCACACTGTAATGTAGTCTAGCTCTGTTCCCTGATGTCACACTGTAATGTAGTCTAGCTCTGTTCCCTGATGTCACACTGTAATGTAGTCTAGCTCTGTTCCCTGAAGTCGTACTGTAATGTAGTCTAGCTCTGTTCCCTGATGTCACACTGTAATGTAGTCTAGCTCTGTTCCTTGATGTCACACTGTAATGTAGTCTAGCTCTGTTCCCTGAAGTCATACTGTAATGTAGTCTAGCTCTGTTCCCTGAAGTCACACTGTAATTTAGTCTAGCTCTGTTCCCTGAAGTCGTACTGTAATGTAGTCTAGCTCTGTTCCCTGAAGTCGTACTGTAATGTAGTCCAGCTGTGTTCTCTGAAGTCATACTGTAATGTAGTCTAGCTGTGTTCTCTGAAGTCATACTGTAATGTAGTCTAGCTCTGTTCCCTGAAGTCATACTGTAATGTAGTCTAGCTCTGTTCCCTGAAGTCATACTGTAATGTAGTCTAGCTCTGTTCCCTGAAGTCATACTGTAATGTAGTCCAGCTCTGTTCCCTGAAGTCATACTGTAATGTAGTCTAGCTCTGTTCCCTGAAGTCATACTGTAATGTAGTCTAGCTGTGTTCCCTGAAGTCATACTGTAATGTAGTCAAGCTCTGTTCCCTGAAGTCATACTGTAATGTAGTCCATCTCTGTTCCCTGAAGTCACACTGTAATGTAGTCCAGCTCTGTTCCCTGAAGTCACACTGCAATGTAGTTCAGCTCTGGTACATTTAGTCATCAAACAATTCTCCTCTGCTAGCTTTAGTCAACCTATATTCCACATCTAATGATATAAACGAATCCTGTACATGACGTTGCATAACAAACCAGCATTTGTTTTCTTTTTTGGGGTTTGCTGGGCGGTTGTACCAATCTGTAGATGGCAGGTTTAGTCACCACTCTCTACCTGTGATAGCTTTTGCTTTTATGTGTGTATTGTTCCTCCCTTATAGATTTCAAGGCTTTTAACTTGGACGCAAGTGTTTTAATTTGTAACATTATACTGGTGGGCAGCAGACATACATTGGCACATGAGCTCATGTCAACCACAAGGGTTGAACTAAATATTCCAGGCTGGGTCATGGCAACCACAAGGGTTGAACTAAATATTCCAGGCTGGGTCATGGCAACCACAAGGGTTGAACTAAATATTCCAGGCTGGGTCATGGCAACCACAAGGGTTGAACTAAATATTCCAGGCTGGGTCATGGCAACCACAAGGGTTGAACTAAATATTCCAGGCTGGGTCATGGCAACCACAAGGGTTGAACTAAATATTCCAGGCTGGGTCATGGCAACCACAAGGGTTGAACTAAATATTCCAGGCTGGGTCATGGCAACCACAAGGGTTGAACTAAATATTCCAGGCATGCACATGGCAGCCCTAATGGTTGAACGGAATATTCTGCTCAAAGTCCACCCTCTGTGGCATATCTGCAGTGTTTCCTGTACTGCCAGTTATTTCTGAGACAGGTTGTCTGTACAGGTATGCAAGTATGATGTTCTGACAGGTTGTCTGTACAGGTATGATGTTCTGACAGGTTGTCTGTACAGGTATGATGTTCTGACAGGTTGTCTGTACACGTATGATGTTCTGACAGGTTGTCTGTACAGGTATGATGTTCTGACAGGTTGTCGGTACAGGTATGATGTTCTGACAGGTTGTCTGTACACGTATGATGTTCTGACAGGTTGTCTGTACACGTATGATGTTCTGACAGGTTGTCTGTACAGGTATGATGTTCTGACAGGTTGTCGGTACAGGTATGATGTTCTGACAGGTTGTCGGTACAGGTATGATGTTCTGACAGGTTGTCTGTACAGGTATGATGTTCTGACAGGTTGTCTGTACACGTATGATGTTCTGACAGGTTGTCTGTACAGGTATGATGTTCTGACAGGTTGTCTGTACAGGTGTGATGTTCTGACAGGTTGTCTGTACACGTATGATGTTCTGACAGGTTGTCGGTACAGGTATGATGTTCTGACAGGTTGTCTGTACAGGTATGATGTTCTGACAGGTTGTCTGTACAGGTATGATGTTCTGACAGGTTGTCTGTACAGGTATGATGTTCTGACAGGTTGTCTGTACAGGTATGATGTTCTGACAGGTTGTCTGTACAGGTATGATGTTCTGTGCACGGATACATTAGGTTGCAATCCCTGCCTATTAGAGCCGTGTGGCTCCGTGGGTGGGTTGACCTAAATGTTGTGTCTGTGGAGGCAATGTCTGTTTAGCACAGCTATAGTGGTCACCAGTTGTGACTGTTGTCTAATGCCTGTTTGTTAGTCTCTGTGGGTCCTAGAACCCTCCTGGGTGAGCCTGATGGCTGTTTGTTAGTCTGTGTGGGTCCCAGAACTTTCCTGTGTGAGCTGAAGTTGGGGGGGGGGGGGGGGTTGTAACAAATCTACAGCTCTAAATATAAAACGAAAACTGGAATGCCTAGCTTCACAAAAAACACAACCCCCAGTGACTTAAGGGGTGACAGCGGCGCTAAAAATATCACCAGGCATGACGATAAATCTTTAAACGGTTTCCATTCGCTTGTAACTTTGTTTTTAAAAAAGGACCGGGCGGCCCGGCGGAAAAGATCACCATCTGCTCACCCATTCAGAACCTCAAACACGGGACGGGGTTGAGAAAAATAACCACCTTTATGGCCAGCGACTCCCAAACTGTAATGTTGAGAAACATGCTTGCTTGCGCCACGCCCAATGTCTGATTGATAAGAGATAGTTCTAGAAACCAGTTGCAGCAACGCTACACGCTTGAGATATTCACACACATCCTTGATCCCCCTTAACTTGTTCCTGTACCTATTGCCGTCTGTCCGCCGCAGTTTTAGAACCGGTGATCCGCCGACGACTCAGGCACAGAATCATAAGGCAGGTAAACAAACTCACCCGGCAACGGTTTTTCAATCTGGAGGTCACATTGTAACTGTCTGCCTCTGTTTACCAGCTCAGCCTTTGCGGGAAGTATAGGATAGGCAGTCGTAACTGATTGCCGCAGTGGTAACTGATTGCCGCACACATACTTGTGATAGATTGAAATAGCCACCATAAGTAAACACGCAAATTAGAGCAACATTGGCCGGCACGTAGGTGGTGCTGTCCCTACTTGAACCTTCACTGATACTCGAGCCAACACTGCATTGTTACATGGGGGGGGGGGGGGGGGGGGTAGGTGAATGTGAATGTAAACAGAAAGTATCCCCAAGTGACATTTCCAGTCAAGTATTGGGAGTATCTCAAGTGCCCCAGTTGTTTCCGGCGGGCTACTTGTGAGTGTGTCTACACGCCGACACAGTCCTGGCTCACGGGCTACTTGTGAGTGTGTCTACACGCGGATACAGTCCTGGCTCACGGGCTACCTGTGAGTGTGTCTACACGCCGACACAGTCCTGGCTCACGGGCTACTTGTGAGTGTGTCTACACGCCGACACAGTTCTGGCTCACGGGCTACTTGTGAGTGTGACTATACGCGGACACAGTCCTGGCTCACGTGCTACTTCTGAGTGTGACTACACGTGGACACAGTCCTGGCTCATGGGCTATTTGTGAGTGTGACTACACACGGACACAGTCCTGGCTCACGGGCTACTTGTGAGTGTGACTATACGCGGACACAGTCCTGGCTCACGGGCTACTTGTGAGTGTGACTACACGCGGACACAGTCCTGGCTCACGGGCTACTTGTGAGTGTGACTATACGCGGACACAGTCCTGGCTCACGGGCTACTTGTGAGTGTGACTATACGCGGACACAGTCCTGGCTCACGGGCTACTTGTGAGTGTGACTACACGCGGACACAGTCCTGGCTCACAGGCTACTTGTGAGTGTGACTACACGCGGACACAGTCCTGGCTCACGGGCTACTTGTGAGTGTGACTACATGCAGACACAGTCCTGGCTCACAGGCTACTTGTGAGTGTGACTACACGCGGACACAGTCCTGGCTCACGGGCTACTTGTGAGTGTGACTACATGCGGACACAGTCCTGGCTCACGGGCTACTTGTGAGTGTGACTACATGCAGACACAGTCCTGGCTCACAGGCTACTTGTGAGTGTGACTACATGCGGACACAGTCCTGGCTCACAGGCTACTTGTGAGTGTGACTACACGCGGACACAGTCCTGGCTCACGGGCTACTTGTGAGTGTGACTACACGCGGACACAGTCCTGGCTCACGGGCTACTTGTGAGTGTGACTACACGCGGACACAGTCCTGGCTCACGGGCTACTTGTGAGTGTGACTACACGCGGACACAGTCCTGGCTCACGGGCTACTTGTGAGTGTGACTACACGCGGACACAGTCCTGGCTCACGGGCTACTTGTGAGTGTGTCTACACGCGGACACAGTCCTGGCTCACGGGCTACTTGTGAGTGTGACTACACGCGGACACAGTCCTGGCTCACAGCTTGGTCTGATTATATGTCCATCTGACCTTTCCTCTAAGTACAGTGTGCCGGCCAGGCCCTCTATTCATGCACAATGTGTATCATTCTCTCCAGGCCATGATAATCTATTTTCTCTTCTGACTTCGTTACTTGTTCCCAAAGGACCTTGACCGCATCTGTCTTGTTATGTTCAGCACTAAGTGATGCTGGTCCAGCCAATCTGTCTGCCTTGTTCAATTGCAAAATGGCCAAACTGCAACAGTTAGTATTCCCCCCCCCCCCCCCCCCCCCCCCCCCCCGTGGGTCACTATGAGACTCCATTGCACAGCAAATTGTATGATGGTTGACACATTTGGGTATGTATTTGCCCAAACAAGCTCTATTGGGTTGAGGTGTGAATGACATGCAGGTAGTCGCAGAGAAGTGAGACCGAATTCATTAATGATTTTGTCAATGTGATACACATTTGTCTTATTTGTTTTCCTCACAAGCTGCAACAACCCTATTTCTAATGTGTGTGGTCAGAGTTGACTTTTCCTTAGCGAGGCATGTCCTAATTTGATCTTTTGTATTTGCTGTCGTTGGTACTTTGTCTTCCTCTGATACGGTATTATGATAGGTGGCATAATCCATGACTAGGCATGATTGTCTGTCCAGAATGGGAAGATGATCATTCTCTATCCAGCACCTGGAAACGTGGCTATACATTTTTGTGTGGTAGTCCCTACCATCTATACTTTTTGATTGGAAAACATTTCCAGCATCATGGATAAGCCTTTTTCACTACTTCCTGCATCAGTGAGTGTCATGCGCTGGCCTTTGCTGCTTGCAATGTTTCTTTTCTGTTCACCGTTTACTGATTGCCTTTCTTTAGCATAGTTATGGTGAGCATTAACCCAGGATCTGCCTCAGGTATTTGCTTCGAGTAGCAATCAAATGTGGCTTTTCACAAATAATATTCCTTCCACTTGCAGGTTTCCTTAAAGTGAACCCGGTGGCTCTTACAATTTTCCACAGACTACTTTTTGAAATATCAATACTGCATTGTGATTTTAACATTAATTTCAGTTTTCGGAGAGTAACAAAGTTGATTTATCTCTAACATTTTTAAGATCTCACGTCTAATGACGTCTACATCAAAGTCATCAACTTGCCTTTTCCTTTATGCTTGACATGAGCGTCCTGTCTAATCCCACGGTTCAATGATGTTCTATCCAGGCGCCAGTCGTGTTGGTTTCTCTGGGCCATGAATATCACAGTATCAATGACCCATTTTAGATTGGCTGAGGAAGTGCAGTAAAACTGTAACTTTCTGCATAGCTATAGATTGTTGACATCTCAAATTCATGTAGAAACTGATGTCTATGTCAGCTTTTATAAGCTAACTATATGGCACAATAACTCAGCACTCATTTGTGGAAATTTCTTTGACTAAATAACCTTGACCGACGTCTTATTTTGGCTTCCAGTCACTAAAATTGCTACTTTGGATGAGAAAATCATGAAATATCATAGGTTTTCTTTGACCCCCTGTTAAACCAGTCATAGTGTGCATTACTTCCTAAAACTAATAACAGTAAACCTTCCAAAGGTCTACCAAGACGTTTTCATGGTAAAAATATATATTGTAAAAAAAGAAAAAAACGACCATTATATTCTTCTTTAGTCCACATTTTACAGCGTAAGGTATTGTCCAGTTGTAGTTTTCCACATTTTACAGCATAATGTTTGGTCCAGATGTAGTTTTCCACATTTTACAGCGTAAGGTATAGTCCAGTTGTAGTTTTCCACATTTTACAGTGTAAGGTATAGTCCAGATGTAGTTTTCCACATTTTACAGTGTAAGGTAAAGTCCACCATTTTACAGTGTAAGGAATAGTCCATTTGTAGTTTTCCACATTTTACAGTGTAAGGAATAGTCCATTTGTAGTTTTCCACATTTTACAGTGTAAGGTATAGTCCAGATGTAGTTTTCCACATTTTACAGTGTAAGGTATAGTCCAGTTGTAGTTTCCACCATTTTACAGCGTAAGGTATTGTCAATTTGCAGTTTTTCACAATTTTACAGCGTAAGGTATAGTCCACCATTTTACAGTGTAAGGTATTGTCCATTTGCAGTTTTCCATAATTTTACAAGGTAAGGTATAATGCAATCTAGTGGAAGTGGAAAAAAGTTAATTGTGAATTTTCTTTTTCCGTAATAAATGTTTAAAATTTAGTATAGAAGAAAATGTTACTGTTTTATCAAATATAGAACAAAGTATGATTGTTTTGTCAAATATAGAAGAAAATGTGATTGTGTTTTGTCAAATATAGAAGAAAATGTGATTGTGTTTTGTCAAATATAGAAGAAAATGTGATTGTGTTTTGTCAAATATAGAACAAAGTTTGATTGTTTTGTCAAATATAGAACAAAATATGATTGTTTTGTCAAATATAGAACAAAGTATGATTGTTTTATCAAATATACAACAAAATATGATTGTTTTATCAAATATACAACAAAATATGATTGTTTTGTCAAATATACAACAAAATATGATTGTTTTGTCAAATATAAAACAAAATATGATTGTTTTGTCAAATATAGAACAAAATATGATTGTTTTGTCAAATATAGAACAAAGTATGATTGTTTTGTCAAATATAGAACAAAATATGATTGTTTTGTCAAATATAGAACAAAGTATGATTGTTTTGTCAAATATAGAACAAAATATGATTGTTTTGTCAAATATAGACAAAATGATGATGTTTTGTCAAATATAGAACAATATGATTGTTTTGTCAAATATAGAACAAAATATGATTGTTTTGTCAAATATACAAACAAAATATGATCAAATATAGAACAAAATATGCTTGTTTTATCAAATATACAACAAAATATGATTGTTTTGTCAAATATACAACAAAATATGATTGTTTTGTCAAATATACAACAAAATATGATTGTTTTGTCAAATATAAAACAAAATATGATTGTTTTGTCAAATATAGAACAAATATGATTGTTTTGTCAAATGATCAACTAAACAAAAATATGATTGTTTTGTCAAATATACAACAAATATGATATGATTGTTGATTGTGTTGTCAAATATACAACAAAATATGATTGTTTTTGTCAAAAAATATAGAACAAAATATGATTGTTTTGTCAAATATAGAAACAAAGTATGATTGTTTTGTCAAATATACAAACAAGTATGATTGTTTTGTCAAATATAAAACAAAATATGATTGTTTTGTCCAAAATATATACAAATTAAATTGTTTTGTCAAATATACAACAAAATATTGATTTTTGTCAAATATAAAACAAAATATGATTGTTTTGTCAAATATAGAACAAAATATGATTGTTTTGTCAAATATAGAACAAAGTATGATTGTTTTGTCAAATATAGAACAAAGTATGATTGTTTTGTCAAATATAGAACAAAGTATGATTGTTTTGTCAAATATAGAACAAAGTATGATTGTTTTGTCAAATATAGAACAAAGTATGATTGTTTTGTCAAATATAGAACAAAGTATGATTGTTTTGTCAAATAGAACAAAATATGATTGTTTTGTCAAATATAGAACAAAGTATGATTGTTTTGTCAAATATATAGAACAAAGTATGATTGTTTTGTCAAATATAGAACAAAGTATGATTGTTTTGTCAAATATAGAACAAAATATGATTGTTTTGTCAAATATCAAATATGATTGTTTTGTCAAATATAGAAACAAAGTATGATTGTTTTGTCAAATATATTGTTTTGTCAAACAAAATATGATTGTTTTGTCAAATATACAACAAAATATATTGTTTTGTCAAATATTGTTTTGTTTTTGTCAAATATAGAACAAAGTATGATTGTTTTGTCAAATATAAAACAAAATATGATTGTTTTGTCAAATATAGAACAAAATATGATTGTTTTGTCAAATATAGCAACAAAATATGATTGTTTTGTCAAATATACAACAAAATATGATTGTTTTGTCAAATATAAAACAAAATATGATTGTTTTGTCAAATATAGAACAAAGTATGATTGTTTTGTCAAATATACAACAAAATATGAACAAATATACAACAAAATGTTTGTTTTGTCAAATATATACAACAAATATGATTGTTTTGTCAAATATAGAACAAAATATGATTGTTTTGTCAAATATAGAACAAAGTATGATTGTTTTTGTCAAATATAGAACAAATGATTGTTTTATGATTGATTTTTTTGTCAAATATAGAACAAAGTATGATTGTTTTGTCAAATATAGAACAAAGTATGATTGTTTTGTCAAATATAAATAAGTATGATTGTTTTGTCAAATATAGAACAAAGATGATTGTTTGTCAAAGTATGATTGTTTTGTCAAATATAGAACAAAGTATGATTGTTTTGTCAAATATAGAACAAAGTATGATTGTTTTGTCAAATATACAACAAAATATGATTGTTTTGTCAAATATAAAACAAAATATGATTGTTTTGTCAAATATAGAACAAAATATGCTTGTTTTATCAAATATACAACAAAGCATGATTGTTTTGTCAAATATACAACAAAATATGATTGTTTTGTCAAATATACAACAAAATATGATTGTTTTGTCAAATATAAAACAAAATATGATTGTTTTGTCAAATATAGAACAAAGTATGATTGTTTTGTCAAATATACAACAAAATATGATTGTTTTGTCAAATATAGAACAAAGTATGATTGTTTTGTCAAATATAGAACAAAGTATGATTGTTTTGTCAAATATAGAACAAAGCATGATTGTTTTGTCAAATATAGAACAAAGCATGATTGTTTTGTCAAATATAGAACAAAGCATGATTGTTTTGTCAAATATAGAACAAAATATGATTGTTTCACTGCAGGGAGGAGGAGACAAGTGCGGGATCTGTGAGAAGACTGTCTATGCCCAAGAGAAGATCGAGGCTGGGGGTGTGGCCTTCCACAAGACTTGCTTCAAGTGTTCCCACTGCAAGATGACACTCAAGTTAGTATTGTGTCTGTGCCATTTGTCGTTTCACCAGGGGACAGTATTGTGTCTGTGCCATTTGTCGTTTCACCAGGGGACAGTATTGTGTCTGTTCAATTGGCTGTGATGACAGAGATGAGTGCAAAGGGGTCTACGCTACTTGAAGTGTAAAACAAATATTCGGGAGAAATTAATGGGAAAACCCGCGGCTCCACGGGGACAGTGAGACCCAAGTGGACCAGCCGCTAAGAGGTTAACTGTGCCCTAGTTAGTGCCTCAGGGTCAAGGAGACAGAGCGAACATGTGTTGCACGACGGTTGTTTGTATTTATGTGTATTATTTCATTGTGTTGGAGAGTTTAGACTGTGCCGTTATATGTCACCAAAACTCCGCCCGGTGTGATTGTCAACTAATACACTTGACTGGACACACAGTCAGCTAGTTGTACCTAAAACATATCTACAGCAGATTCTCCAGATGGGACACACTATAGCCTACAGTGCCCACATGGGAATTCATGCAACGACACAACGCATGGCTTGTCATTACTTTGACAGCAGATATCATGCGTTATGTCAAATCCTGTCCGGAGTGTCAGAAGGTGGCACCTAAAGGCAGGAATGCACCAGTCGGATTGGGGGAAACTCCTGTAACCTCCACACCTTTTGAGAGGGTGGCGGTCGATCTGGTGGGACCACTTCCTCTCACAAAGAAGAAGAATGCTTACATCTTCTTTGTGAGAGGAAGTGATACTACTGTAGAAGACACGGCTACTAGAGTGTAAGTGGTATACGAAGCTGACTGGCTGTTATCAGTGGCATTATTGAGTACCGCCCTAGATACTTGGCAAGTGTGCGGTGCATCCTGCTGTTCATCGTAGCATGTCGCACGCGTCATTGGGAACCAAAGACGGGATTGGAGAATTGATCGCTGGGAGCAGAAATTGTCACTTGAGATCAAAGCTGTGAAGCCAAGCACCCGCAGTAGAAAACTGGACTTTGCTGTGATTTTGTCCCTGAGAAGTTGGGCCAGGATCAAAGCTGTGAAGCCAAGCACCCGCAGTAGAAAACTGGACTTTGCTGTGATTTTGTCCCTGAGAAGTTGGGCCAGGATCAAAGCTGTGAAGCCAAGCACCCGCAGTAGAAAACTGGACTTTGCTGTGATTTTGTCCCTGAGAAGTTGGGCCAGGATCAAAGCTGTGAAGCCAAGCACCCGCAGTAGAAAACTGGACTTTGCTGTGATTTTGTCCCTGAGAAGTTGGGCCAGGATCAAAGCTGTGAAGCCAAGCACCCGCAGTAGAAAACTGGACTTTGCTGTGATTTTGTCCCTGAGAAGTTGGGCCAGGATCAAAGCTGTGAAGCCAAGCACCCGCAGTAGAAAAAACTGGACTTTGCTGTGATTTTGTCCCTGAGAAGTTGGGCCAGGATCAAAGCTGTGAAGCCAAGCACCCGCAGTAGAAAACTGGACTTTGCTGTGATTTTGTCCCTGAGAAGTTGGGCCAGGATCAAAGCTGTGAAGCCAAGCACCCGCAGTAGAAAACTGGACTTTGCTGTGATTTTGTCCCTGAGAAGTTGGGCCAGGATCAAAGCTGTGAAGCCAAGCACCTGCAGTAGAAAACTGGACTTTGCTGTGATTTTGTCCCTGAGAAGTTGGGCCAGGAAACCAGCCAGCTTACCCCCAAGTCAGTGAACTGTTAGACACTTATTGATACTGAAGACAGTCGAATATTGTGTCGGCCTATGTGTTATGAGGTCGACAGTGCTGCGGCTATGGGACATATGGTGGACGGGTTTCTATAAGGGCACAGAAGGTGCTGGGGAATTTAGTGTGTCAACCAACGTGTAGTTGTGATGGGGGAAAGTATCAAAGGCTGACTGGCGGAGTGGTAGTCAGAGATGCTTCAGTAAGTGACTAGGTAGCATACTATGGTCTGGATTTCTTTTTAGCTTTATTTTTCATTGTTTTCATCTATCTTAAACTCACAGTATCAGATATTTCCTTTCCTTACCTCAGCATACACATGTATCTCAGTCATAGCCTTCTATCAAATATATCCTTACCTGAATCATGCCCTTGTATCAGATATACCGTTACCTCAGTCATACCCTTGAATCAGATATTTCCTTATCTCAGCATACATGTCTCAATTATACCCTTGTATCAAATATATCCTTACCTCAATTATACGCTTGTATCAGACATATCCTTACCTCAATCATTACCTTGCAACAAATGTTTCCTTACCTTAATCATTTCTTTGCATCAAATATATCCTTCCCTCAATCATTCCCTTGTAACAGACATTTACCCTTGAATCGGATATACTCATAACTAGAGATATTTTCACATCACACAGCTTGCAGAACTACGCTCAGGCCCATAAAAAACTCTTTTGCAAGAATCATTACCAGTCGGAGGTGCTGGCCAAGAACTCACAGATCGTGTCGTGACAAGTCAGACTGGACAGCCTCCCAGTCATCGATGGATGACACCTGGCAGACATGGAGGTTATCATTAGTTGATTGAATTGATTTGTGCCTGTAACATTGTAGCATGTAGGGAATGATGTATTGTAGCAGTTTTACATTTCTTTGTTTTTTTTTATGATTTGCAATCATCTGCTGAGTCTAGTCCGCAGGTGAGAAGAAATCTTGTTGCCAGTCCTCTCTCTCAATTTCATGTGGAGTGTGTATATTATCGATCAGTTTACAAGCAGATGCAAACATAAAACTTTATCAGTTAATGAAATAAACATATTTATAAGTTAAGGAATAAAGGAAGACATTTGAAAATTAATTTATAAATTCACAATTGTATGTGTAAATAGTTTCACTAAATGAACGAATAAATGAAAATCAGTGAAATGTTTTGGCAAATATTCCATAGGCAAAACTATGCTTGTCTGGAATCTTTCCATTTGTGTTTGTGTAGTCTGTCATGTGTGTGACATCTTTGAACATAAACTGTAAAATTAGGTAGGTATAGTGATTCCTCTGAGTACACATATACAATGATTCCTCTGAATAAGTACACACCGATTTTAGAGCACAGATTTTGATCTTTGTACCGCTTAGAAAATGAAATGTATAATGGCAAGATTGTGTGTGTAATGCTACCTGAAACAGAGAATTTCTTCGGGGGGGGGGGGGGGGGGTTTAAACCGCTAAATCTAGCCAGTAATCTAATTTTGATCACACTGTAATTTAGAAAGGGACTTTTACATTTATTTCACGAAGAAATGATACAAAGAACCCTATGATAGTTCTATTGGATATTTTTAATTTATTATTGACAATAAAATACAATAACTGCCAATCACTTCCATGACAAGGTCACATTTTGTTGTCAGTTGTTTTGTTTGAACAACCATCATCATCTCACCTTGACCCTGGAGACCAGATGAACAGCTAATCTCTGCTATGTTTTTATTTATGAATTATTCTGTCAACATTTATTTATCCGGTCTTCTTGTCCGACATGTATAGTTCATGTTTTGGAACACTTGTACAACTTTCCGTATTCTTTGGTACTTTCTTTAACTGTGAATTGTTCAATGAGAAGCATGCTAACTGATTTTTGTAACCTTAGTGGTTTTTCAACTTGTGCCATGTTTGTCGAATTGGATTATCTACAGTCCTGCTATCTGCTTTTTGTAGCTGTAGAATTTAAAAACACATTGTGTGATATTTATAACTGAAGTTATCAGTAATTGAAAACGTTATCTGATGTTTGTAACGTAAGTGTTATTAAAAAAAAAACACATTGTGTGATATTTTCAACTGTGGAGTTATCTAAAATGTTATCCTATATTCTGGCTTTTCTTCAATGATGCCTCACCAAATGCCAGTTTTGTGTGTGTGCGGGTGAGTACAGATGTAGCTTTTGATGAAGTTCAGGTTTCTAGTATTTTAGCACTGACAGCAGTAGTATCTCACAGGTATTGAATAAACTATGGTCATCTTTGATGCTAATGTGTTTTATGTGTGTGATTATTTGTGTTGATGTGATGTTTCATGTGTGTGGTCATTTCTAATGATGTGATGTTTCATGTGTGTGGTCAGTTGTGTTGATGTGATGTTTCATGTGTGTGGTCATTTGTGTTGATTTGGTATTTCGTGTGTGGTCATTTGTGTTGATGTGATGTTTTATGTGTCTGGTCATTTGTATTGATGTGATGTTTGTCTGGACATTTGTATTGATGTAATGTTTGTCAGGACATTTGTATTGATGTGATGTTTGTCTAGTCATTTGTATTGATGTGATGTTTGTCTAGTCATTTGTATTGATGTGATGTTTGTGTGGACATTTGTATTGATGTGATGTTTGTGTGGACATTTGTATTGATGTGATGTTTGTCTGGACATTTTTATTGATGTGATGTTTGTCTAGTCATTTGTATTGATGTGATGTTTGTGTGGACATTTGTATTGATGTGATGTTTGTCTGGACATTTGTATTGATGTGATGTTTGTCTAGTCATTTGTATTGATGTGATGTTTGTCTAGTCATTTGTATTGATGTGATGTTTGTCTGGACATTTGTATTGATTTGATGTTTGTCTGGACATTTGTATTGCTGTGATGTTTGTCTGGTCATTTGTATTGTAATGTTTGTCTGGACATTTGTATTGATGTGATGTTTGTCTGGACATTTGTATTGTGATGTTTGTCTGGACATTTGTATTGATGTGATGTTTGTCTGGACATTTGTATTGATGTATTTGCATGTTGGTCAGAGATTCCTTGTGTATTGATGTATTTTCATGTTGGTCAGAGATTCCTTGTGTATTGATGTATTTTCATGTTGGTCAGAGATTCCTTGTGTATTGCCATGTTCTTGTTGACTGTGTTACACCCGGTTGCTGAATGCCTGTCGGGGACATGTCATCAGCCTTTGATGGTCACGAGGCGATTCAGTTCACTTGTTGGGGAACACACAAATTGTTGGTTCAACCCCCTCCTCATCGGGAGACTGGTCTGTTGCTGGTCTGGGTTTGATTCTTCTGTCATAATGGTCTCCGGTGGGCATGGGCAGATAAGGTGAAGGTCCTTTGCCAGCCAATCAGATAAAGGTTTCAGTGGGTGTGTTTTTCAGGGATTCAGTTTCATTGTATGTTGAGCTAAACTCTGGAACTGTCAGCTGTGATTTTTCTAGCTGTCAACATGCGAGGAATGGCTGGCAGAATGGTTAGAATGCTAGGCTCACAAACGAGAGGCCAGAGTTCGATTCCATGGTGAGGTTGGAGATTCCTTTCTGTCAGGGGAACAACAATCCTGACCTGTACAGTCAGTGGTGACAAAAGTGGTGCCCGGCTCTCTAGCGTAATTGGCTAAACTGGATTGCGCAGAGACCGGGTGACGAACTCCTTACAATGGAATCAAGGCCGAAAGGTTGCGATATCCATAATACCGAGCCCAAGGGTTAACTCATGGCTTCTGGTAACTAAAACAATAAAAAGTGGTAAACACAGTCAGTGGTGACAAAAGTGGTCATCACAGGCAGTGGTGACAAAAGTGGTAAACACAGTCAGTGGTGACACAAGTGGTCAACACAGGCAGTGGTGACACAAGTGGTCAACACAGGCAATGGTGACAAAAGTGGTCAACACAGGCAGTGGTGACACAAGTGGTCATCACAGGCAGTGGTGACACAAGTGGTAAACACAGTCAGTGGTGACACAAGTGGTAAACACAGGCAGTGGTGACAAAAGTGGTCAACACAGTCAGTGGTGACTAAAGTGGTCAACACAGTCAGTGGTGACACAAGTGGTCAACACAGGCAGTGGTGACAAAAGTGGTCAACACAGGCAGTGGTGACAAAAGTGGTCAACACAGGCAGTGGTGACAAAAGTGGTCAACACAGTCAGTGGTGACACAAGTGGTAAACACAGTCAGTGGTGACAAAAGTGGTAAACACAGTCAGTGGTGACACAAGTGGTCAACACAGGCAGTGGTGACAAAAGTGGTCAACACAGTCAGTGGTGACACAAGTGGTCAACACAGTCAGTGGTGACACAAGTGGTCAACACAGGCAGTGGTGACTAAAGTGGTCAACACAGGCAGTGGTGACTAAAGTGGTCAACACAGTCAGTGGTGACACAAGTGGTCAACACAGTCAGTGGTGACAAAAGTGGTCAACACAGGCAGTGGTGACAAAAGTGGTCAACACAGTCAGTGGTGACAAAAGTGGTCAACACAGGCAGTGGTGACACAAGTGGTCAACACAGGCAGTGGTGACAAAAGTGGTCAACACAGGCAGTTGGGGAAAAAGTCAACACAGGCAGTCATAGGAAAAGTGGGTGAAATATGTTTCTCGCTGAGCTCCTCTCTCCCCATAATGGGTAAGGGAACCGAGCAGCCCATCCATTAATCAAGCGTATGGATGTGATTCTTCTAGGTCTGCTTATACATTTGCTGACAGCTGCAAGATTGGTAGGGAAATAGAAAGGGCAAGGGTTCATCTTATGGATAAGATGAAACAAGAGCACTGACTGTATCCGTGATTCTGGTAATCATGTTAGATGATGAAGCATGACACCCTAGATTTGATGAGATTAATATTTATTGTCTGGCATATCCCGCTGGTCTTCTTGGGTGTATACTACAGTAATAAGTGAATCAAATAAAGCAAAAGTGAAATACAAGTCACACTCAAAGGTATGCATGCGTGCAAGGACTAGAGGGCACTTCGGGTTCTCATCAGAAATTAGTTTATTCATCAAGAAGCCAACTGAACACAAACATGCACTTATAAGGGAAATAACTGACACATACAATCACAATACCAAGAGAAACAGGCTTGCTGCCCTTGTCTTTGAAGCACCATTATTTATCACAGACTAGGACCCACCACTGACAAGACAACACAACACCCACATTTGTTCTACCTTCCTGAGAACATGTCTCAGAGTACGCATAATTATAGTTCTGCAGGTCATATTATCCCATGTCTTCGCCACTAAATGAGTTGCCTACCAAGAGCGTCACTAAAGCACCAACTCTGTAGCTCCAGCAGCAATCCCCAGGTATCTCTCTAAGAAGGGCTTTTATGAACTGATGACACATCTGTGAAACAAACTCATGAATTTTGAAGCACAGCTTAACAACTGAGCCGAGGATAAACATGTACACTTTGTCTATTGTTGACAAGATGTATTTTCAACTGATTTTAAGCTGAGAAAATCATCCAATATTCAAACAGTAAGCTGAGAAAATCATCCAATATTCAAACAGTAAGCTGAGAAAATCATCCAATATTCAAACAGTAAGCTGAGAAAATCATCCAATATTCAAACAGTAAGCTGAGAAAATCATCCAATATTCAAACAGTAAGCTGTGAAAATCATCCAATATTCAAACAGTAAGCTGAGAAAGTGTTAGTTTAGGGTAGAGATAATTCACATCTACATTTATTGATGCATTCAAGTGAAGTGGGGACATTAGTGATCCAG